GGGTGGGGGAGGGGGGCGCCAGAGGGTGTGTTCGCCCAGGGCGCCAAACAGGCTAGGACCTCCACTGATTCTGATGTTTCCCAACTGCTCTTGTTAAAAAAACCTGAACTCATCAAATGACACAAGTTGATATAAAGAATAGATTTTATTCCACAAATGTAGTGAAATACAGTTTTTTTAAATTATAGAAACAATTAAATACAGCCATTTAAAACAAGCAAACAACCATTTTCTCACTAAACCTGTTGTGTTCCTGTTTGTTATGCATGAACAACAGATTCAAATCAGTAAAGAAGGGAACCTTCAGCCTTTATCCACTTTGGAAAAATGCAGTGTTGCTGTGAACATGAAACTTTGTTGAAACAGATTGCAGATTAGTGATAAATATACAGGCAGCAATATGACTCTAGAAACCATGAGAGATGTGACTGGCACAAATACAGGGTAAGGTTACATTCAAATAGGACCAAAAACATCAGCTTTGGTGTTCATGATGCTGAAATTCATTTTCATTAAAGCTTGTCGTATGTTTCTCATTCAAAGGCAGTTGGTACAGCGCAGGTCTGAGTAACCCGTACATGCTGAAGTAAATTTTGGTCTCTAAGCACGACGACATCAGAAACAGCAGTAGAAGGTACAGTGAGAGTTGTTATACTGCATATTAATACTTGTACCTATGAATACTGTGTCTGTACACCACCACAGGGTGTTTCAGATAATCAAAGTCTTTCATGCTGTTATTCACCTGTGCAGGAATTACATTGTCTAAAACGTAAACTCACAAAATTTTAAATTTGTGAGCTAGTTTTATTGTTTCTAATCTGTCTGTCTGATTTATTTTGATTTTTAATGACAGCCTCTACTTACTTATCTCGGAGCTCATAGTTCTTGTGAACAGCCACTAAATATAAATGTATCATTTGGGATCAAATCTTTCAGCTTTTTAATGAGCAACATGTCGCGTGCAGCCATGAAACTGCCTGTCAGTCAACTGTCCAATTACTTTTGAGTCTTTAAAATAGAGAGTATGTATAAAATGGTTGTAATTCCTCAGACAGTGTTATATTACAGTTACATACTAACTGCACTGCTACATGTGAACTCAGCCCTGGCATTCACTGAGATCTTCAGCTTTCTTACGGAGTTGTGTCAGAAGTGTTTTAAGTTCGACATCGAGCTGTTCAAGCTTTGTTGATTTCTGAACTATCTTGTCCTGCAGTCTTTGGATGGAGTCGGCTTTTCCTAGAAGAAAACAAACACAAGGAGCATTACAGGGAGTGGGACACACTGTCTGTGTCAGGACTGTAGAACTGTATTTCTGATATATTTAGTCATTAGAGAGCGCCACACAGAATGTCCACAGAAGCAAAATATTAGACCACCAAGTCAGCGGGGGTGAGCTCATGGTAGGAGCACGCAACAACAAAGTTACCTGTAAAAATTCAAACTGAACTGTTGATATGAAAACTTTCATGCTCCCAAAATCACCTACTTTTACATGCTAGTCAAGCAGCTACTTACTAACCTCACAATCAACACTTTATGCTTTATGACTAAATGTCCTACTTTCCCCAATGAACTGAGGATGCATTGAGTGAATTTTTTTCTTTTAGTGGAAATGTTGGTTAAATTACCGTCTAGAGCCTGCAGCATGTTTTTGGTTATGTTAGCCAGAGCTCCAGCATCCTGCTGCAGTTTGTTCAGTCGATCCCCCGCTGGCTCCGTCTCACCATCTGTCCCGGGAACATCTTTCTCTTTAAGATGGTCAAGGTGCTTCTCCAAAGTCAACAGGTTCTACAAGTACACACATAATATGGCACTCAGTTGTGGCCTTCTTATCCTTAATCCATAGCGTTTAATATGATGTTGCCAAACCTTTGCTTCAAGTCTTATAGGAAGACTTTCCACAAGGTTCAGGAGTGTGTTTATGGGAATGTTGACCATTCTTCCAGAAGCACATTAGTGAGGTCAAACACTGAAGTTGCACAAGAAAACTCTTAGTGTGAGTTTCTGCACCAAACCCACTCATGCTTGTGTTTATGGACCTTGCTTTGAGCTCTGGTGCACAGACCATCTCCCAAGTGTTCTCACAAAATAATCTGAAATGCATTGGCACGCTGAAGCAGGAAGAAGTCCTTCCACTAGAATTAAGGGGAGAACACAACTCCTGAAAAATAATGCTACACAATAATTCCCCCAAACTTTACACTTGGCACAGATTTCCTCTGGCAGTCACCGAATCCTGCTTTAGAGCCTTTGTAGCCTCGTGCTTGACACCACTGCATCCAACGCTTTGCATTGTGCTGGATGTCAGTCTAGGCTGCAGTTGCTCAGCCATAGAAACCCAGTCTGTTCAAGTGTAATCTCACGGTCACATGAAGTTTGGAGTCCTGTAGTGATGAACTCTGTGCTTCAGCCTCTGCTGACCTCACTCTGTGATTGTACATGGCCTACCACTTCATGGTTGAGTTCCTGTCAGTCGCTTCCGTTTTTTAAATACCACTAACATTTGGAATATTTAGCAGTGAGGAAATTTCACACCTGGACTGGTTGCACAGGTGACATCGTATCCCAGTAACACGCTGGAATTCACTCAGCCTCTTAAAGCGACCCATTCCTTCAGAAATGTTGGTAGAAGCAGTCTGCATATGTGATGCTTCATTATATACACAGAAGTAGAAGTAATTGGAAGACCTGAATTAAATAGGAGCTAAATAAACCTAGCTACAGTTTAATCTGGCCTACCTGAAATGTGAATTCTTCACTTTTACTTAAATTTGTAATTTTAAAAATATAAACAAATACTGAGAAGAAAACATTTTCATGTTAGCGACAATCTGTTACCGAAGATATCCACGACTTAATTCAGCAGCATGAAGAACAACGACCCACAGAACCAGTCTGCAACTCAGCACATTTACAGCTGACTGCACTGCAAAAACACACTATGAGCTTTCAAGTGTGTGGACACTCATTATATTCATTTATATTCACGTTTACAGATGACTGATAAATGCAAATAGTAGCTTACACTGGGTTCTTGTTCTTCCTTATTAATGTCGATGCTCGTCTAAAGCAGCTGCAGCAGATCTTTTACCTGATTTCCAGCAGCTGCTTCTTTATCAGCGTTTTCTGCATTGTCCCGTGCATCTTCAGCCTGCTGACCTCCATCCTGCAGCAGGTCTCTCAGCTTTTCCAGCTGGGGTTTCATTGGCTTTATCAGTGTTGCTACATCGTCCAGAGCCTTCTCTACTGGCACCAGCTGGTCTTTGGCCTGTATGAAGAAAACCCACCCAAACTCAGCCTATAAGCAGTTTTTATTGTAATAAATAGACCATTGTTTCATCTACGCTTTCTACCTTAGTAAGGTTGTTATTCAAGGTCTCTATGACATTAATTTTGTCATGCAATTTGTGTTCCAGCTCAGCAAGGGAAGGGCTCACTGAGGCGAAGCCTGCCAGCAGCCCATCAACATCAGCCTTCACACCCAGTGCTGTGTCCCTGCAACCACAGAAACCGTTAGTTTGAAGGACTGATGGGTAAAAACGACAAAAAATAAGGACTGGATTAAAACAGTCTGGAAAAACTAATCTCTGATTAAATGTAAGGCACTAATACTCATATTCGTGAAGACATAGACTTTGTTAGTTCTGCATTAGGGAAATTCCCACGGTATAGCTGTACAAGCATGTGTTCGGTGCTTGGTCTGTACAAACAGTGGGAGCAAAGCTGATGATTCTTTAAAAAAGGAGCATCTTATTCAACAGTTTGACAGTGAAGTGCGAGCATCAACCTGGCGTCCTGTGCATCCTGTAGCAGTTTCTTGGCTGCATCTAACTGTGGCTCAGCTTCCTTCAGCACCGCTGTGCTGTCTGGTAGATTGGCTGTCAGATCCTTCAGCTCCTGCAGCTTCCCTTTAAGCCCTGCCAATCTGGGGGGCAGCTTGGCATTCAGGATCCAGTCGCTCACCTCCTGGACATGGGTCAGGTTAGCGGATGGGTCTGGTCACCAAAATAGGAAAAGCAAGAGTTTAGTACAGGAGCTGGAGTTCACACTGTGGTGGTGTTTAAAGGGCGACTGATCTCAGCATCACCTTCTGTTACACCCAAAGAAGTTTCCCCCTCCATCTCAAAGTGGTTTCACTCATCCAACAAACCTGACAGGAAGTCTTTGAGCTCTTTCACAACGCTGCGTGTCTCATTTAGGTCGTCTTCGAGTTTATCTCTGGCCTGCTGCAGCTTACTGGACAGCTTCTCTGCAGACTGCCTCACCTGATTGGTCATCTCCTGTGTTTTCTGCAGCTGTGCACACATTGACATTGAATAACTGCTTGAGATGTGTAAACAGATTAAGAATGACTTGTGTGAATCACAAAACTCATTATTTGCATGTAGCTGTAAGTGTCTACCTTCTCTGCAGCATCGGTGATCCTCCCAGAGAGTTTGTCCAGTCCCTCCCTCACATCATTGGCATCAGCGTCTGCCTTCTTGCTCAGAGGCAGAGCGCCCACACACTTTCCCCCCTTTTCACAGGGTGCGTCTCCCCCTGGTGGGCACAAATCTCCAATATCACACTGGAGAGGTGTGCAGGACTCGGAGTGAACACTGCCACACACCTGAAAAACAGAGTTAGAGGTGGAGGGCAATGACGATTACTAGTCTGAATGATAGGAAATGAACTTTCCATGCACTCAGGACAAACAAGAAAGATTATGATTAATGGCCTGGATTATGCTCACACTGAGAAATATGACACATATGGATGCTTATTTAAGACAATAATCTTTCAGTTTTACTCATATGCTGCAAGTCAGCTAAACAGTAGATCAAGAAGTTTTTTTTCTGAAACACAAAGCAAGATCAGTGCTAGTTACTTGTTTGGCAACAGGAGTGAGGTTGGGTTGGGAGGCCATGCTGTTGTTCAGTTTATCCAGATCTCTGGTGTTGGCCGGTTGTACTTTGCTCGGAATGTCCTCAGTTTTTCCTCGGACATCAGTTGATTCCTTTACGGTATTTTTCCCGGCCTCAACTTTTTTGGTGGCATCTGTCGAGTTATCGTAGGCGTATCTGATGGTGTTGAATGCCCCTGCAAAGACAGGACAAGTCTACATGAGTGGATTTCATGCTGTTGTGATACATGAATAGTCATCAGCCACATCTGTGGAATTGCAGCGAATGCTTAGTCTTTTCTGACCTATATTGTTGGGACTCTTTGTGGCATTTTTCTTGGCATTGTACTCCAGCGTGAAGCGTTCCAGCAGGTCCTGCAGTTTGTCCAGCTCAGAGTCCAGACCAGGAGTTTTTGTCAGGGGTGAAAGGTCATTATCAAGCTGGTACCTGGAGATGATATTATCAATGAAAAAACAGTGTAAGGTGATCGAATTTAAGGGTGATTCGTATTTGTTAGAATTAAGTTCTTCAGCAGTTTCCCACCTGAGCTCCTTCAGCTTAGAAAGAGCATCACGTGTATCAGTGATGGGTGACAAGGACATGGAGTTCTGGATCGCTTTCAAAGTGGCCTCCAGGTTACTGATGCGGGGCCCAAAGTCAGCGCCGCCTCCAGACTGAGACGATAATCTGGAGGCAAGTGTCGACAGTACCGAGCTGACATTCTCTCGCTGAGCCTTTAGGCTGAAGAAGCAGGAGGGACACATCTCACAGTCAGGGAAGGAGTCGCAGCGGTCACGACTGCAGGAGTCGCAGCGAGCTCCAGAGACACCCGGTCGGCAGAAACAGGATCCCGACTGCTTGTCACAAACTCCTGGGAGGGTTCCATCGGCATCACAGTCACAGGCTAACACAGAGGAGGGTCATGCAGATCAGTTACGAAGCGTTTTTCAAAATGGAAATGTTGCAGACATTCAGCCATGCTCAGAGGGCTTACATCAAATTCTTTTTAAGTTTGGCTTTTGATGATTTCTTTGAACTCTTCTTTTTTCTCGGGTGGATTGATTGTGTTTCATTGTCCTGCTGTAACACCAAGTCGTGTCCAAGATTCAACCATTCTATTGATTTGAGGTGAATTTGAATAACTTTTAGACTTTTATCTACTTTGGACAATCTAACAATGGCACTGGCAGTGAAGTAGCCCCAGAGTATGATTACAGTTGGTTCAGTGCTCTTTGGTTTGAGCATCTCACCCCTCCAAACATGTGTCATTGTAACCAGTCACGAGCTCAATCTTTGTCTCATTTGACCAAATAACGTATCTCCAGAAGGCATATTTGGCTGATCCATGTGGCAGCTACGAGTGCCAGTTAAACTTGAGTCCATCTTCTGTGAGGACTTCAGTGGCTTTGCTGTGGACACTGATGTACCAGCAGCTTCCAGTTCGCAGCAGGCTTGAGGCTTGGTGGTTCCTGGATTATTACTGAACATCCTAATTTCCCCTCATGTAATCTGCAGTTGTTTTGGAATAAGTCCAGCAGACCTCCCCAAGTCGTGCAGATCTATAACTCTCCTTATTATGTCTTCAATGAATTCCTGAGACTTTCCTCTTGTTCTCTATGATCACTAACCAAAGTCCTGGCCTCGTCAAGTTTAAACACTGTCAGCACCACATATGAAAAGATACGAGTGAGTGTATGTAAATATTTCATTTTGACCATACATGGATCTGAGAACGAACGTATTTTTTAAAGTTATTAAAGATGTATACTGTGCAATCGTTTCATCTTGGAAAAAGAACAGTTCAAAGAAATCATTGAAAGTCAACAACTACCATAAAAATGACGTTCACATCTTTGTAAGTGAACACACTTTGAACTTCAGCAGTGAATCATAAATGATCTCTAATCCATGCTGGGAGTTTCCTCTCTACCTTACAATGTTTCACCATTACCCTCGTTATGATCTGGCACTATATAAATGATACTGAACTGAAAGAAAACTCCCAAACGAGTGGTGGACTTACGCTGGCAGCCTTTCAGAGGGTCTCCATATGTGTTATCAGCGCACTCTGTACACGTTCGGCCTCCAAAGCCTGATCTGCACTGACACTGACCAGTCAGCTGAACAAAAACAACATTTCATTATTTTCCAGAGAAGACAAACGATATAATCTGTGATGATGAGACAAAGACAGAATATTTGCATCCTCGCTACGATCATATCTCATAGCAACACCAGTCCTTTCTAAGTCACACCAGGTGTAAACAACTTCTCAACTGTCATTTTCAGGAGTGAATTCAAAGTGAAGATAAAGTTAGTCTTTGTAGGCTCTCGGTCATCCGGGACTGGAAAAATTCAGTTTTTAGCTACATAAACAAACAGTTGTAGACGACATTTGAGGGTCATTAATAAATTTACCTTTTGCCTACAATGTAGCTGCCATCAGCAGTGTGTGAACGTGTGGATGACTGAATGTAGTGTAAAGCGCTATACAAATACAGGCCATTTACCATTTAACCCTCATAATGTCCTCCCGATTTCCATACACACACATTTCCATACACACACATTTCCATACACACACATTTCCATACACACACATTTCCATACACCTGTGGTGCTCAAGGGTCAAAAATGTCCCCACTTCATTTGACTGTTTTTTACAGTATAAAGTATAAATTGTCAATCAATTCCGTGTTACATCTTAGTTTTACTTAAGACCAACACATTAACACAAAATTTACCCAACATTTTACATTTTAGGGCCACCAGACCTTGTTTACAAAAAATACACCCTGTTTTTTAAGCGAAAATAAAACAAGAAAATTAAATATTTAATTGTTTAGATAATTTTGACTATCTGACTAACTACAGAGTGCTATATGTTGAACTTTAGTGAGAATTTATTTTTTGAACCATTTAAATTTTTTAAATGGCAGCACATAATCACAGCTGTGGTCCTCAGGGGTCAAAAATGTCCCCACTTCATTTGACTGTTTTTTCAAGTATAAAGTATAAATTGTTAATTAATTCAGTGTTGCATCTTAGTTTTACTTAAGACCAACACATTAACACATAATTTACCCAACATTTTACATTTTAGGGCCACCACACCTTGTTTACATAAAGTACACTGTGTTTTTAATGAATCTTTAATTCAATTAATAACTATATTGTAAATGCTTTAAAAACAAACACACTTTTGACTGCTCTGGATGGAAAGAGCTGGATACACACAGTTTATGTCTTAGGCCAGCGGAGTAGTGGTCCCCAACCCCCGGGCCTCGGACCGGTACCGGTCCGTGAGTC